GGCCCCGCGGCCCGTCCCCCCCGACGCTTGCCCCGGGGGGAGAGCGGCCGTTCCCTGCCCCGCGCTCTGGTGGCACCAGGCCTGCCCCTGCCACGGCGTCGCGCCCTCCGGCCTCTCGCGCCGAGCCTGGCGGGCTGGGCTGGGCTGAACCGAACCGAACCGGACTGGGCCAGGATGAACCAGGCAGGGCTCTGCCGGGCTTGAGTGCAGGGCCTACGGTGGGAGCTGCTTGCCGTGGCCCCTCGCTTTAAGTATAGCATGCACTCACGCAGTTTGATTCTCTGTTTTTATATAAAATACTTGCATGTCTCGTCTTTGCACAACATTGTGAGCTTCAGTGGGGCTTAATTTTTCTTCTGTTCATTGCTTGAGTGCTGCTTTTGGAGGAGAGGAGGTTGGAGGTGATGCCAGTACCGTCTGCTGCTGCTGCAGTGTTTGTGCCTCTGCTCTGTTGAAACTCCCTTCTTCTCCTTTGTGTAACTTCTTCTGGACTTTGGGCACAGGCTAGTATGTGAAATCCAGGCTTTAAAAGGGCTACATCTTTTCCACTTTCCTCTGTGTTGTAAGAAAATTGTTATCTTTTCTGGTGCACCTTATAATTCTAAAGATCAAATTGTAAGATGGCCTGAGGAAATGCTGATTATTAAACACACGTATTGCTAGCCTCAAATTCTGAGGGTTACTTAGAAAATGACTGGTCTATGTGGGACTGCTAGAAATGCTTGGAAAGCACTGAGAAACTCTGGACCTAAGGTGTGTTTTTGGAGTTTAGTTTTCTATGACCCTAGCCCCCACTTGTACCTGCCCACTGACCAGTTGTATGGGTGCCACTGTAACCCGTAAGACAAGGAGTAGTTTTCTTCCAACTTATTATGTGAAAAAAGCTTGGTGAGCCAGTCTGTTACTCAGGGAGGCACCAGGGACTGTATAAATTAGGTTGGATTCTGCTGTAAGGATATGTAAGTGCCTCTGACTTAAATAAATTAGTTGACCTATGTGCTTTTGTGAATTTGGAACTAATGACTTGCATGAGTTTAGGCAAGAGGTTACCTTAAATTCTGGGCTGTTCCTTTTTTTCAGGGAATATCTTGCATCTTTTGTGCAGCAGGGAACTGTTGACCACATACACATATGGGCTTGCAAAATAGGCAATACTATTATAAACACAACTTTATTGGTGTCTATATAAACAAATAATTTGACAAACTAACAATGGATAAATAGTTCCAAGGAGGTTGTGAAGAGTCCCCTACGTCTCCAAAGTTTGTATGGTTTAATTTCAGATGGGCAGATTTAATTTATGTAGATAAATAGGCAGTACCATATTCTAGCTACAAAGCTCACTAGTCAGCCTCTCTTTAGTGTTCAGTTTGTGTTGCAGTTAGGTTGTCTGGGAGTGCTCATTTTCAGTTTGTTCAGAATAAGATAGGAATAGTGTCTTTTGTATGTGAAAAGGAAGCTTGGTGTGAGAGAAGTGAACTTAACTCTCTCTCTTTTCCAATTGCCTGGATCTAATGAAAGGAGAATTAGTTTCCGATGATTCCAGCCACTGATCTGAGGTTGGTTCCTTTTCAAAAACTTAAATTCCATATAATATATTCTGTATTACACAGAAAAAAAATGCTTTCAAGGAAAAACTTAAATAGCAATGACTACAAGAAATTACATTGCTTATCTCAATGTTTTGACAAATGTGGACATACCTCATGGAAGCATATTGCTTCTACGATATAAGAAGATAAGCACAGTAAGAAATGTCTTTTAATTAACTTTAAACTAAGTTATTTAGCTTAAATAACTAAAACTAAAATCCAAATCTTTCCTTCCTTTCCTTATGGAAGAAAAAGAGTCCTTTTGTTGTTGTTAAATCTGTCACTTTATTTACTTTCAACTTTTTTTTTTCCCTTGGATGCCTGAGAATAAAAGATGTAGCTAGAAAATTACTATCGCTTGCCCTTGAGAGCTTGTGCTATTTCTATCCTCTTCCTTTTGATAATATGCATTTAATATATGGATTTTATAGATGAGGGTATGGAATAACATGTAAGTATGAATAAAAATGCACTGGATGAGGGTTTGGACACTTTGTGGAACACTTCTATGTAGGCCACAGATATAGAAAAGTTATTTTAGGTGCTGTTACCTTTTAAGTACCATTTCCTTAGTTTTTGCCTCTAAACCAGGCTGCTGTAGTTACTCTGAGCTGGACTACTTGGATGTAGTAGGAAAATAATTACTTTTTTTTTTTTTTTAAATAAAAAATGTCCCAAATACTTTGTACAGTGTGAAACTTTATGGGAATAGTGAAATCTTGAGACAATCTGGGCCTATTAGCTATTTTTTTAATATAAAACGAGGAATACTTCATCTCTAGCGATACAAATATTCAACAAAAAAACTCAGAGATTTGATCTTAAAACCTCTCACTTTTCAGGACTGAGTATTTTCCAAGTTGTGTGTTTAATGCTTTAGGGAAGATGCAATGGGGCATTGTCTGTTAAATCTGTGTTTTTTTTTTTTTTTTTTTTTTTTTTAAATATAATTTTATGAATCCTTTTGGAGGTGGGAGAGGGCAGAATAAAGGTGAGACAGTTAAAACTTGATTTTTAGCTTGTGAATCGCTATTCAGCATCCATGACAGCTGGAGCGTAGCCTTCCAGGTAGAAAGTTGAAAGTTTTTTGAGTGTGTTCAGGGCTGAGAGGAGGCGAGAGCTCCTGTTTTATTTTAGTGTCTGCAAGATGCTGGCAGGCTGAACTCTCATATACAATTACATTATCATTTTCTCACTACAGAAAAAGAAAAGCTGCAGTGCTGTCTCATACCCCTGCAGGGGTGTTGCATTGATCGTCAGAAAGGGTTAAAATTCTAGTTTGCTTTCTTTTATTTTTAGTCCCTAGACATGCCCAAACAATAAAATCCACATTCATTTCAGATGAAACTTCTGAATGAGTCATTTCTGAAACATATTTAGAGCCTTAAGTGTAGCTGCAAACATATGGAATGAATTAAAGCTTGAGAATAAAGTGGGAGAACTATGTAGATCCCAGTGCTCATTGAGAAGATTCCTTCAAATTTTAGAGAAGCTTTATTTTTATAGCAAGTAAATGCTTTATACAACTTACAAAGTTGTATGACTGCCACATTGCTTATATTTGGCCAAGTTGAAAGCTGCCCAGTCAATTTTGGCTTCAGTATTACTTTGGACAGCCAAATAAAATTTTGCCATTTAACAGGATGTTCAGTCTTACTTTGGGGTTTCAATCTGCTGTATTTTTGAAAGCTATATATAAAATACTATCTTAAGAGCCTGATATTCTTCTTCCCTTATCCCTCCCAGTGCACTAAGCATTAAACTTATTGTTTTGAATGCCTTTAAATTTACTTTCTTTCCTGCCCAGTGTTTTGGGCTATACCATGTTTTAAAGCTCTGTGAAAGCTGTTTTATCTTTTGTTCCTTCTGCTGTGATGAGCTGCAAGAGGTCTTTGACTTGGCCTCCTAGATGCTACAGCAATACATCTGAATACTACTCTGCTGTCAGTTAGGTTTAATATCCATGCAGAGAGGTCTGATATGTTTTTTCTCCTCCTGAAAGTTTGTGATAATTTCAATAAAAAAGGTATTTGTAGAAAATATCAGGCATTGAGGAGAGTGGAAGATCTGAGCTAATCAGCTCCTCACAGGCAGGGAGTTGATATGCAGCCCCTGAAGCAAATCACCTTTGCAAATTGCTGTACTCTTTTGCAAAACAATTAAGGCTGGATGAAGACTTGAATGAGTGTAAAGCTGTTAGATGCAGGGAGCAGCAGAGGAACTCTGAAGGAGCTCAGAATTATTTATGGTCTGGAAGAGTGAATCCAGACCATCTCTACTATCCCGCTTTCCCTTTCTGTCGGGATCAGCAGTTTTTCTTGGCGGAGTAACCTCTTAGTCGGACTCAGCCACCTGCGGACACCTCCTCCTCTCCCAAATGGCCTCTTGGCCCCAGGTCAACCCCAGTTTCTTCCTGCCGAGGGGCCTTGCAGTATAACTCACCACGAGCTCATTAATGTTTGCTGGAAATACTTGACGCTTCCTGGGGAGGCTGCCTAGTAAGGAGCTCTGGCTTGAGCATGTGGCCTGTTGCTGTCAGCACCAGTGCAGCCATTAGAATGGCCTTCGGGCTGTGGAGAGACTGAGGAAGGAGCTAGTGCTGTAGAAATGGAGTGTTTCACTGCTGCCTTTGCTCTTACATTCAGCAGATTTCCCTTGTGTTTGTTATAGTCATCTCTTAAGATATTTTTCCTTTTATCCTTTCAAGAAGTACTTCCGTAAATCTAGGAAAGAGCAGCAATGAGATTCACCATGAGGACTAATGAAGTGAGAAATTCTTTGTTTTGGGGAACTCCTTGCTAACTTTTAAATTACCTAATTCATTGCTGAAAGAAGATAAAAAGCAAATAATACTTTCTTTGTCAAAAAAAAAAAGAAAAAAAGAAAACTAAAGCTAAAAGTTCCAATTCAACTTTCTGAAGCATTTGCCTGACAGCAAATGGGTACTGCTACTTTTTACTACAGCTGAGATTTTTCTGTTTCCTAACCTGAGAAAAAGTTGTGGGAAAAATAGTTTTGTTTAGTAACATCAAATATCTGTGTAGCAAGTGACTAAAATTTAACTCTTTTATTTATTTATTTTTTCTTAGAAATGGATGATGAGGACTGTGAAAGAAGAAGAATGGAGTGTTTAGATGAAATGTCCAATCTTGAAAAGCAATTTACGGATCTTAAAGACCAGTGAGTATTTTTAAAAATCGGAGTGCCCCCTTTGGGGATCCCTTTTTGTCAGAATAGCGTGTGCAAGGGCTAAGAGTTTCTTCATATTTGTTGATGCTAATATTGCTGAAGAATAAGCACCGGAGACCTGAAGTGATTTACTGGTTGTTGCTCCAGAATGCTTCTTTTTGCTGTGAAGCTGTGGCAGGAATTAATATAACTCCTGTTGTTTTGCTGTAAGAATCCTTCTGATGGACTGCTATGAACGGCTTGCGTGAGGACGTGAGGACTGTGAAGCCAGCAAATTGTGTTTTAAATTGCAAGTTATGTCAGTTGGATGCAAGCCCTGCAAAGAGTGTATCCCACTTGAACAGCCTGCAGGTTGCTGTGTGACTGTTGCTGTCTTGTGCTTCAACTATGGAGTTGTGCTCAAAATAAAACAATGAGCAGGCTGGAGACAGATGAGCAGGCACTGTTTTTCAAGTGGGTTTGCGTGTGTCGTTATAATACGTGAACCTTTTCCTATATAGGAAAACTTAGCTTAGGCATCTTAATTTAAAAAAAGCTGTGTCCCTGTCCCAGACAAGTGTGAACCATGTGGATGGGTAAGGTCTGATGAGTTCTTGAGCATATACCAGCTATGTTTTATGTGTTGCCTTAATGCTGCACCTTTTGATAGCAGAGGGCATGGTAAAAGCGAATATAAGAAGACCTGATTATATAGAGGATTCTGCCAATAATATTTTGTTTGAATTATCAGTTGTAAAGAGTGGCACTTTACTGTGATTGAAATGTTTGTAGTAGATATTGAATCAACTTCAAAATTCAAGGAAATTTCTTCACATTGTCTAGCAGTAAGTATTAGCTTTCAAAGAAAGAATAATTATTGGGTAGAATGTAAGTACTTAATATTAAAACATTAATAAATTTTAGTAATATTAAAACCATTTCTGTTTGGTAAGAATAGCTGATGTCAGTTACAAGTTATTCCATGGCAGTGCTGCTTTTAGTTCGTGCTTCCTTTCAAATAAAGTTGTTTTTTGTTGTTGTTTTAAGACTCTACAAAGAAAGATTAAGCCAAGTGGATGCAAAACTACAAGAGGTCATAGCTGGAAAAGCTCCTGAGTATTTAGAACCATTGGCAGCTTTACAAGAAAATATGCAAATCCGAACAAAGGTGGCAGGTGGGCATATAGAATGAGTGTTTCTGTTTTCATGATCTGAGCTTGATATGCATTTGTAAGTTTTTTGATTTTGCTTTATTTTTTTTTTTAACATAAATCTTTTCCAAGTCAAAATGCTTAGTTGCTTATGTTGTTGCGTGAGTTACCTCATAACATCACACCAAAAACAAGACATACTTGTTTTTCATTTAATGTCTGTCTGTCTTTGTCTAGTTAGCAGAAAGTTGCTGAATTAAAAGCAGTCATCATTGTAATTAGAAAATTTGGGATTAGGTCTGCATCTCTCCATCACAGATCAAGTGAAACAATATCTGGATGTCATCTCTTGAAGTACTGGCTAGTACATTCTTGTCATCTTAGATGCTCATGTTTTTCCTGCTCTTCTGGTCTGTTTCTTTTCTACTCCTCTATTCCCATCTCCCTGTCCCAGTCTGGGGAAGGAGGAAAGCTCTTGTTGGTAGCAGATTTTCTTAGCTGTGTTTTTTAGTATTTAAGCTTTTATGCTGACAGAAGAAACAGACAAGAATTTATTTGCTCTTCAGCACACCATAGAGTCCTTTGGAGTCCGTGTTCTAGGTACATCAAGTTTTGTACTTTTTGGTTGTATAGTCTTTACATGCCATAGATTTTGTTTGTTTGTTTTTGCAGCAATTCATCTGTCTCAGGGTTACCTAACACAGGCAGCCATGGAGTGGCAGTTTCCTGTCAGGCAGCCAGAGAAGGTCTGCCAATGTCTTTCCCAAGACATCTGTCAGAAGCACAGTGTCACCACACTAGAAAATAACAAACCTGTTTATGCTTTCATAATACTGATGCTACTTCAGTGCTACTCCATATGTCTTCCTTAGTGCTGTTGCCTTCAGACTGTGAAGGGAATTAGAAGTTTTTTGGTCTATCGCATCCCCGTAGAGCTTTCCC